AGCCCTAAACATCCTCAAGTTTGCTAAATATTCGAGTACCACACCCAACACACGAGAGGGTTTGAACTCGTGACCTAAGGGAACTTAGGACCTTCAGAGAGATTGCTCTACAAACAGACCATGGTACGCGCACTCTTTATACATACATATGGCAGCGACGAGGGCTCTACTAGTGTTTCATCATGGTGATTTCTAACGTTGAAAATCCCTGCTATCATTCCATATTCGACGTCGGTTCGAGTCGACGACGACCCCTTTTGCTCCCAGGCTCGCACGGCATCGTCTTCGTTCCTGATATGACTCCTTACGCTCCGTCGTTTTGCTTGCAAGCCCGCACGACGATTTTGGCTCCGTCTTTAGGCTGATTCATCTTCCTCATTCCATCTCGACAGAACCGTCCTCGGCTTGGCCTCTGTTGGCTATGCATTCCCGAAACTGCTCCCTATTACAGTTTTGAGATGCTTTCTGTTGTCGTCCGTTGCACTGCCCTATCTCCTACAGTTCTTGTGTGAAGCATGCTAATGGCCTCAGCGATTTCCTATATTGTCGCCCTCGTCGGTGATAACCTTGTCAAACCTTCATATGCTACAGTAGTTCACAAATGTAGCTCTCATTTCTACCTCGCAGATAGTCTGATATTCCCGCATTTGTATCATGATTCTGTTGTAGAACATAGAGATTGCAATCTCATCAAGAAAGTACAGAAAAAGGCAGGCAAACCAGCGATATTCTTCTCGGATGCTGAAATTTCAACTTGTGCGAGAAATACAAATAACTAGTTGGAAAGTTCCAATTAGGTTGCCCAAAGATGGAAATTACTAGGAAGGTTTTTGAAGACTTCAAACTAGGTGGGGCCTGACAGGTGGGTCATTTCGATAGAAAACATGTTATGATACAGCTGAGTATAGAAGAGAATTACACAACAATTTTCTCAAAAAAAAAAATCATTACAATAGAGGGCAAACATACAAAATTGCTCACCCTAATTTTGATCCCAGTTGCGCCTATCTAGTTCTCATTACCTGAACTTAAGTTTCATTTCTTTAACATACATATCTTATATGCAATTGGGACTATCTTCGGAAAACCTTTACAGGTAGACTTATCCACAGTTCATTTCTCAAAGCCCTCTACTGCAAGGATTTTGATTAAAAGAGATATTACACTACCAGATGTAGAAGAAGTGTGGCTTGGCTCTGCTCACAATTGTTATTGGCAAAAAATCATTATGAAACAAAAACCTTACAACTGTAAGCAATGCAAGATGTTTGTACACCCGCTGGAGAAATATTTTAGATTGCACCCACAGTTGAGAACTAATAGTCAAAAGTAAGAACAAATTGGTAATACACCCCACGTGTCTGAATGCGCTCCCAACAAACTTGATGACAGCCAACCTGAGGAGGGAATCACCACAATACAGGAGTTAGTGTCTGCCCCTAAGAACCCTTCTCCCGACCATACTACAACGGATAATGTTCAGACCGAAAATCAGGATAGCCCCGCAGCTCCGATTCAGGAAGCATCAGATGCAGAGGTGACAATTCACACTTCACATACACTGGAACCTATCATTGTAGCAACGACTGTCCTTCCTTCTACTGCAGTTCTAACATCTAATCAGATCGAGGATCACATGAGCCAGTATTTTGATGAAGAATGACAAGTTTATACTTCTCGACGGAAGAAGAAGGCTGGGGGCACACTCCAACTTAAAAACTTAATGGATGATACTTTGGTTACTCCGGCAATGACACGACACTTCAAATTTTGTTATCTGACTCCGCTCCTAAAACTAGAAGAAGAGGCAGGACTAAACTGGCTCGTCCCTAGCTACTTGTTTTCTGTAAATTTTAATTTTTTTGAGTCTATATGTATCTTTTAGTTGGGATATTACTGTACATGGTATAGTATAGGTAGGGTGCCTCTACTGGGCCCTCTCATACAACTTTCATGTATCTTCTCTATTCCAATAAAATCAGCCCTTGGGCTTTTCAATATATATATACATATATACATCTTAGTACACTAAAAAAATATATTATATATATATATATATATATATAGATATATATATAGATATATATATATATATATACCCTTACCAAATCATCTAATTGGATGTTTCATAATCATTTCAATGAAAAGGAATGTATTTGGCTAATGTAACCTACAAAAACGGTAGAGGGCCATGTAGTTTATAGGTTCTGCCAAAGTTCGTGGTTTGTAAAACTTCTTTGATATAGGCATGACTGGAGCAAAAGTTGTATGTGCAACGCCTATTTAAAAGGAATAATAAAAAACCCATGGTACTGAGAGTCATCGATCAGTAGAATAACAAATGCTACAAACAAACTGCAGACAATTATTGTCGATTTACTAAGGACTCTCCCACAAACATTTGTTTCCATACAATTATGCCACAAAGGGTAACAAAGCTCGTAATTTGCTCAGACTCAATCGTCATTCTTTTCCATTTTAGTTTAGGTCCTCCAAAAGTCTGACATATTTTTTAGTTTATATCAGATGTAATGTAACCACGTCAAACATAGATGTAATATATATATATACATATATATATATACAGGAATGTCGTCGCCCCGCCGCTCTGCTAGGGTTCCGCCCCATGGAGAACCCTAGCGTTTCGATTGTCGTTGCTGCTCCGATCTCCACTCTATCACGCGTTCTTGCGTTGGCGTCGTCGATTGCGGCGGAGAAGATGCAACTCCTGTTGCGTCTTCTTCCACGCGTCGCAGCGCCATCATCTGTGTCACCTAGCGATTCGTTTCCACTCGCCTTCCGCCAGCGTTGTCGACCGCTTGACAGAGTTCGCGGCTGCCTGTGTCTGCGCCTGTCTGTGTCGATCGACAGCTTGCTGAAGAAATAGCTTCAGGACGTTCCTACGCCGCCGCCCTCGCAAGTGATAACCCCGTCTCCGCCCCTCTTTTGAATATGTTTTCGCAACGATACCACGACAATTTTGCTCTTGGGACTGAAATCGGATTTCTCAAAAAAGCTTCCTGTAAAAACGACAAACTTGCAATCTTTCTCACTAAGGCAGATATCTCTACCCTAGCTGCGCCCTGCCAACTGTTCTTAGTAGGTAAATTTCTTTATGGAAACCCTAAACTGGAGATAATTCGAAAGGACTTTCAACAAATGAAGCTGGAAGAGGGTTGGTAAATCGATAAATTGGATGGTCGCCACATTCTTATTCAATTATCAAATGACGAAGGCTACACCATTTGTTTGCGAGAAGAGCTATTCGAATAGAAAACAAGGTGATGAAGGTTTTAAAATGGATGGTGGATTTTGACTCTCGTACTGAACCTCCTACCATTCCTGTTTGGCTGCACTTCCCAGGTTTGAAGATCCAACTTTTTGATCAAGAGCTTCTTTTCACTTTAGCGATGGTATACGGTAAACCCCTCAAAGCTGACACGCCTATAGTGAACCTGACTCGGCCTTTAGAAGCCAGAATTTTGATAGAAAGGGATATTACTTTATCTTTTCCGGAGAAATATGAATTGGCACACAACATCAGAGATTTTAGCAGCAAACAAAACTTGAACAGATACCACTTTATTGTACCCACTGTCGTATGTTTTGACATTCTCCTCAATGTTATCAGTTGCATCCGAATTTAAAACCTTCAAATAAAAAGGCTTCTGGATCTGCCCCACCTCATACCTGTCTCTCCTCCGCTCTTGAGTGCATTCCACAGACTATTGAAACACTGGTTAGCACGATGTCACCTTCCCCTCCCACTACCAGAGACAATACTGTCTCTCATCTTCCGACTGATATATTGGCAGATGGTTTACTTTGGTCCGATAATCAGGATATTATTGAAGCTCCACATCCCCAAGATGCATCAGGTGTTGAAGAGACATCATCTCTTCAGAATCAGAATATTGTTACTGCTAATCAGGAGCTCGGGGCTCATTCTCTCCTACATGCCCAACAATCTGTTAACCAGACTAATCAGATGAGTCAATCCTCAGATGAGGAATGCCAGGTATACACATCTAGAAAGAAAAAGAAGAATGGAGGCACACCCTAGCTTGGGAATTTAAAAGATAATACTTTAGTAACTTCGGGTAATAGAACGACACTCAGCAATTTGTTAGTTGTCTCCGCTGCTAGAAACAGAAGCAAAGGCAAGACCAAGCAGGCTCGTGCCTAGCAGCTTATTTCCTGCAAGTTTTATTTTTTTGTATTTTATCTATGTTTCATTATTTTAGAATGCTAGTGTCTGATATATCATATAAGTAGGGCACTTTTTTTTGGGTCCTCCCATAGTTTTGGGGCCTCCCATAGAACATCTATGTATCTTTTCAATTTCAATAAAATTAGCCCTTGGGTGTTTATAATATATATATATATATATATATAAACCTAAGGGCTAATATGTTAAAGAGAAAAAGATACAGATAGGTTCTATAAGTGGGCCCAAAAGAAAGTACCCAACCTACACAGTACAATACCAAAACGAAAAAGGAAAGGTACATATATGATCAAGAAAAAAAAAATCAAAGCCATCAAAGTGCGCAAAAAGCTAGGTATGACCCAATATATATATATGTATATATATATATATTAATTCATAATGTACAAAAGTTGCTTTCTATTCTTTTGTTGAATATTATTGATAATAAATGATATAAGTTAATTTGCTAAGATACCTTTATTAATATGATGGTTGGGCGAATAATTTTGATGCTCAAAAGTTTATTGTTATATATATATATATATATATATATATGAAATAATGTTGATTACCAATGCCAAACTGTGGATGTTCAACAACACTAAAACTTAGGAGTAAGATTCTGGGCCCCATAATAGAATTTGTAAATTCTGCAAATTACTAATAGTTGTGAATGGCTTTAAAACTAAAATTGAACTACAACAACAAAGAAAAACAATAAAAAAATCAACATTTATTAAAAGAGGAAATACTACAGCATGGCCAGAAGAGTTTATCGAAGAACCAATACCTTGAAATTTTTTGGGAGATTGATTAGTCCAATATCAGCTAACAAACTGCCAAATTGTATGCGCATGTCTCTGTCATGTTATAACGTGTTGAAAAAATAGAAGAAAAAAAATGAAGCAGATATCACATCTATTCTTAATAACAATATTATGCAATTATTAAATTTCCATTGACATGAATTAAATAATTCAGATATTCCTGCATTCACTCATGGCATGGATCTTCTATTGCATTACGGCATACCTCCGCAACTTTCTTTGTGCAAACATATGCATGTATGAGATGTAGCATGTTTGTTTCAAGTATGCATGCGCACACTTACAAAAACACATGATCCTCCAAAAACTCAGCAGCTAATCAAAGTTTAAATTTCAAGACCATCTAGAAGACAATAGATAGATGCCATGTACATATAGGCATAGATGGATAAAAAAAACATATTAAGTAAATGGTATGGCGAACAACTCATCATTAACCTTAAAAATTGTTTAGGGTCAGCTTTATAAATCCTAGGTATCCATTAATTCATGTTACATGCTGCTTAAGGTGTTAATTTTTTTTTTATGAATTGAACTTCTTGCATAATTTCAATCCATGTTAGTTTTGGTCCACCACATTTTTCTTTTCTATTAATTTTATCTGGCAATCATTTCAGTTCATCTTTTATTCTTAGCTCCACGTACACGTATCAACCAACTCTATTTCCAATAATTTTCTCATCAAAAGTGTTATCTTCATAATGCCCTAATATAATCATTTATCAATTTAGCCTTACAGCTTTGTCACGCATCTATCTTAAGATCTATAGCACACTTAGTATGGTTTTTGTGACTTCTTCCTGGCCAATAATTCAAATCATAAAACACGTCTGACCCAACATTACTTCTGTAAAATATTCCTTTAAACCTCCATAATATTCATCATCGGTATAGTACTCTTAAGGCACTGCTCCATCCTTGCCAATCCGCTTTGACTCTATATTATATCTTCAAAATATCCTTATTCTTTATTTAATAGATCCAAAATATTTAAAGTTCTCACATCAAGATATCACATAATTAGCTAACAATATTGATTAATATTCATAAATTTCATATTCAATAAATTTATTTATCCTGTATTCAACCTTATTATATAGATCTCACAAACTGATAGGATAAAAAGATAACTTTATCCAAAGAATACTTTTGGAAGAAGAAAAGAAAAAGAAAGAAAAAATGAATAAGTCTAACCTTATGGTATACATGACTGAACTGTTCAAAAAGAATGAATGACAAAACCGATAAGCAGCACTTGGCCCTTTCTGCAAAATTATTAATGAAAAGTTTTGAATATTTAGAAAGGGATATGCCACTCAAGGAAGTACAAAGAAAAATTAATTTTCATCCTTCTGCATGAGGTTGATATGTAATGCTCGAAATTTGAACAGTCTAACAAAATTTTAATGGCCTTTTGATAATGTGTAACACAAGAAGACAGAATGAACACAAGTGCTCATAACCTCATGTAGAATCCTCGCCCATCTGTTGTAGGCAACAACCAATAATAGATGATCTGATTGCTTGTTGCTTTGATCAGCAGTAGTGCCACCATTAAGGTCGTCAATCAGCAAAGTTGATTTAGCGCTCATGACATTGTGCTTCTGCAATTGAAATGCCATAAAACATAATAAGCCTTAAGCTTTTAGCCAAGTAAAAATGTTTTTGTAGTGCAAGCTAATAAACCTCGTCCTTGGGATTGAGAAATGGAGATTTGTGGCTCAAAAAGGCTATAATTGAAAGAATTGGTGATAAACAACCAAAAATCGCACCATATACCATCATCTGCAAAAAGGATAAATTTTAAGATAAAAAATAAGTGTCAAAGACTACTGTACGTAAAATTCAATCAATATCTAAAAACCAAAAAAGTAGAACAAATTTCAGAAAATACATTCAATCATAATAACTCAAATATGTTATGGCTGGTGGCATCAAAAAGCTAAAAAAGCAGAGGAAACTTTCAAAAAAGATGTTCAAAAATTGGTAATTATAGCCAGGTGTATAACACTTTCTACTCACTATAAACACTACTGAGCAATCTATCCTTTTATTTTCCTTTGTTTTCATTTCATTTTTAAGTCTTGTTTTAATTTGAAATGCAATCTGCAAGTTTTAAAGATTCTAGAAGAATGAAATCCTTCGATAACAAAAGAAAAACCCCGTCGATATGTAATTAAAGGGTAAATATGTTGCTGCTGGAACTGCTTCCCACTTCCAATGAGGAAGCTGTTCCTCGTCTATTCTAAATAGACAGAGAAGCCTCCAGGAGAATCGGTTAAGTTTCTTTTGGCTGGCTCAGCAATCCAACCACCAAGGGTAGCCCAACCACTTTAGGATCTCCTTTTCCTTGATTAGCGTTGAAATTCAGAATAGAGTGGAATGTTTTTATTGATAAAATAAACCATACATAAATCCTAGAATAGGAAAGATAATAACAAGAAAATAGCATAAAAAGAAATATAAAACACCTAATATCTCCAATTAATCAATTCATATTAATTACTTAGAGATAAAAGAAACAACATAAAATAGAAAAAAAAAATAAATCCAATTTAAGAAAATAAACCTAAAATAGGAAAGAAAATAAATTTATAATAGGAAATAAACCTAATCCTCATAACTGCTAATAGAAATAAACTATTTCCTAACATAATTTCTAACACTCACCCTCAAGTTAAAATATGGTTTAAAAATATGTTCAACTTGGATTTGAAAACATCAAACAATGAGCGATGAAGATCCTGTGAAGTAGAACTTGAATTGTTTATCCCGTAATGTGGTTGCCTATGACTGCAATTCTTATAGTATTTGTAGGTAAGTGAAATGCTCCTACAGGTAATGATGCAGAGAAGTTAGCAGGGATGTAAAGAACGTGTAGGAAAAGCTAACTTATAGTTGATTACGGTTGCCTTTGACTGGAGTTCCTGCAATTTCTGCAGGAAGGCGGAAGTCTCCTACAGGCAATACTGTAGGGGAGTTTGTAAAGCTATAGACAATCTGTAGGAAAAATCGACTTCTAGTTCACTGCAGTTATCTTTGACTGTAGTTCTTGCAATGTATGTAGATAGGTAGAATGTTCTTGCAGGTAATGTTGCAGGAGAGTTTGCAGGGAAGTGGAAAACTAACAAAAAAAACTGTAGGGTATGGAAAAACTCCAGAGATAGGCCTTGCTGTAGGAAAAGCTCCGCAAGAGAGCCTAATCAAGAAAAGACTTCGAAGGAGGGCCTTTTGCAAAAAAAAGCTCTGAACGAGAGTCTGCTGCAAGATAGATTTTAGAAAAGGGTTTGATGCAGGAAAAAGTTTCGGAGCGCCTAATGCAGGAAAAGGCTCCAGACGAGAGCCTGCTGCAAGAAGAATTTCGGTGGAGAACCTGTTGCAGGAGCAACTCTGGAGGAAAGCCTACTGCAGTGAAACTACGGATGAGGGTTTGCTACAGGAAAGATTCTGGAGGGCCTGATACAAGATAGGGCTCTAGAGGAAGGTCTGCTGCAGGAAAAGCTTTGGAGGAGGGTCTGCTGTAGAAAAGCTCTGGAGGAAAGTCTGATGCAGAAAAGCTCCGGAGGAGAGCCTGATGCAGAAAAGAATTCGAAGGGTCTGATTCAAGAAAAAGTTCTTGAGGGGGGTCTCATACAAACAAGAAGCTCCGGAGAAGGGTCTACTGCAAAAAAAAAACTCTGGAGGTAGGCCTGCATTAAGAAAAGACTCCAGAGAAGGGTCAGCTGCTAAAAAATTCACAAGAGCGCTTTGTTTGCTTTATTTATGGAGAGAAAGAGCAAAGAACACCATCATATTTTAACATATTTAATATGTTAGAGATCAGAAAGCATTGAGTTCGCAACTCTGCAAAATTCATCAAGGAAGCCTTCTAACTAAATATTCCTAACTGAAACAGTAATAAAGATTCCAAGCCAATTGAAATCTTCCCCAGCCAACGCAACCCTTTGCTCATGAAAATCAAATGTACAGACATGGCCAAAAGGTGCAACAACTATAACAAGAGAAGTTGTTAGAGAACTGATGTGCATCTAGTGTGTGTTGTTTTTATGTGTGTTTTATGTCAATTTAAATTCTTGGTAACAGTGTCAAAAACTTGACCAGTGCCGAAATTATGCAGTAAATTAGCTTTCAAAAACATGGCAAAAAACTTGACCCAAATTATATTAAGTAGTTAATGTGTAAATTCAAAATGTTTAGAAAATATATAAAATAGTTCACACACTAGTGGTTCTACGCAAGTCCACTACGCAAGTCTACGCAAGTCCATGTATCGCTTCAAGTAATATAGGGCTTTCTTTAAAAACCCCAGTATCGATCCCACAGAGAAGCGCAATAAGAAATCTCTTAGGCTAATTCTAGCCTACTACTATGAAGTCGTAGTTTAGAAGATGAGAATTCTAATGATAATAACTTAAATCACGATATTCAAACTATAAAAATTAAAGTAAAAAAGATAATTTAAAACGGGTTTAATGATTGCTAAGAGAAATATAAGTAAAAGAACTATATTTACTAAACTAATTTCTAAACTTCAAAATTAAATTTACTAAGACTAAACAAAGTTTTGTGACGAAAAGTTCAAATTTAAGAAAGCATCTTTTTCCTTTACAATGAGTGCATGGTTAGTGAAGTAATTAAAATCATTTGAAAATATATAAAAATTATTTTGTGTCAAATAGGAGCAATCTTATTCTTTACCCTCTTCCTAGTACATAAATAACTTTGATTAATCCAGAGTTTTATCTCTAATTCTGTGGTTTGATTGGGAGAATACTGATTGCCACTCTAGAGGCTCCCACTACTCCCTCACCTGAGGGCTAATAATCTCGCATCAGTTTCCAATCAACTGGACCAAATTGGGGATTTTAATCTGTCACCTTAAAATCTCCAATTCTGAGTCCAACAAAGTATATTTTCCTATTTATTTGCAATCAATTTCATGGATGACATACTCTCCCATGAAATCAAATTTGGTTCTTCCCATGTTATAGAAATCATAGTCCTTTCAGAACATATATTTCTCAACACATTTTAACATTTTAATTGGCCAAATTGAAAAGTAAATGAAGATCTGGGTTCAAATCAGTAAATGAAGATCTGGAAGATCTGGGTTCAAATCATCACAAATTTTTAACATTTAAAACCGTATAAAACAAAATTAATTCTTCACAAAACCAAATCTCATTGTAGGAAGAAGAATAAAAAAAACTACTCAGAATTCATGAGAAGGATACGATAAAACACGAATTTCATTAATAAAAATAAGTTTACAAAACAAAAAAAATAAAAAACAACTTATCTCACAATCTTTCCCAAGTAAATCCCTAGAAGTTCTCTTCAAGTTTTTCTCTCCTTACAAGCACTCTCAATTCTCTCCTAGAAATGTAATGAGGAAGAAATCTCTCACCTTCTCTCTCCTCTTACAATCCTTGAAGAAAATCTACTAGCACTTGCCTCTCTCTCTCACACCACACAAACACACACACAAACTCACGCCCACACAACTCTTCAAGCCCTAGACTTCCCTCTCTTTAATCGTGAAGGCAGAACCATTGATCTTAATAGAGAGTTTTCTTACGTGACCCCGGTCATTTAAGATGTAATTAACTATAGGGGCTTGACTCTATAGAGAACTTAGAACCCAAGTAAAATAAACCTTATCTAATCATTATATTACAGCGTATATATATGTGTTTCATCGTTCATAAGAAATCATAAGCATATTCATAAAAAATTGATAGTCAATCACTGCAATCATAAGAATGTCACATATAATTATACAAGTTATAAAAGTATTGAGCTATTTCATGTCATTGATCGTCACCCAATCTAAAAGCAAATTAGTTATTAATAAAAGTTGGGCTCCTCTCGATATAGCAATTATCAATAACCCTAATAACAAAGGTTCCCTACTTTTCGTCCCTTTCTAATACCAAAAGTTCTCGGAGTTAGTCCCCATTCAATGCCAAGAGTCGAGAATTTCATCATTCCCTATCATCTGTACTTGCAAGCATTCATATAATAGTCTGTCTAACACCACACTTGTGACATTCCTGAAGTCATAATTCCTATAACAAGAATTCATCATAAGCAAATCATAAATCATATGCATAAACCACATTATATGATTGCATGCAAGCAAATATTTCATAAATATGCTAATCACATCAAATAAATAGCCAAATTGTATGTATCGTCAGTGCCAGTTCAATGTTGGCATTCATATAATTATGTGCAAGGATTCATCAATAATTAGAAAATATTAATGCAATCATAGGTCAAAAGAAATCATATAAGAATCTTACAAAAAGATATTTTTTAATTCAACATAAGTTTGTTTCGCTTGAAACAACAGATAGACTATACCTTTCCAATACGGACATCAACAGGAAGTTTGGCCAAATGATAACCAAGAGGTGACAATTTCTCACATTCTTCAAAGGCTCCAACCTGACAAATCAAGTAAACAGAAAAGATTATCAACTTTCACAAAATATCTAATTAACATGAATAATGATAAAAAGAAATGGAAAACTGGAGTGCACATTTTTTAGCACATTCATTGTCATAATTTATATAACAGGTTTATAAAGTAAAGAAAAAAAAATACCTTATATAACAGTTCAATCGCTGAAGAGATAGCCACTTCACCCGGCGGTTCAATTGCCTGACAAAATAAATGAGAAGGAATTCACAAAATATGTTATTGCTAAATAATGAAGAGAAAAACCCTTAAAAGGAAACATTCCAAAATTAAAGACAATCAAAATGAAGTAAAACAAATCAACAGACCTCTGAAAGGAAAGACTTTATATTCCCTAAAGAAAGATATTTGATCTGCAGACACAAATCAGAAAGCGGCATTCGAAGCATTTCTGGTACCTTAATAAGTTTCACAACAGAATTAACAACTACTAAAACAATTATCATCAAAAAGATATCAATGTTACAAAAACTTCTGTAAACTAATAAAGATGAAAAAAAACATTTTCCTCGAAATAACTTATCATAAAGGTATATTGCCAAATGAAAACACAAGAATGCTTGCAACAAACAATACGAGTTTCATGCATGCGAGTATTTAGGACTTTCAAGAGTCACACCAGCTTATTTCGAAAGTGTTTATTGTTCCCAGTCAAATTTCAAAAGACATTAGATTTAGATAAGAGACAATCTATAGATTTCACTCCCATAAAATAAGAACTAATGATATGAGTCCAAGTTCCCTATAAGTGCAAGCATGCATGGTTAATTATCCATTTCAAAATTGAGAGAAAAATTTCAATTAAAGCTAATCATAAAGTAGTAAGTTCTTGGAATATAATATAAATAATTTTAGTTTTAAACAATGATAATTTATCATCTTTTAACTAAAAGCAGATTTGGAGAGAGGTGCTAATGACAGACCCAATTAAGATCCTTCTGTTTCTTCATTTCAGGTTATCGTGGTCCACATAATTAAACGAGCTAGTCAACCCAACATGACCAAGGAATTATGAATGGCAGCCAAAGGTCATGTTGTCACAAGAGAACTTGGAAACTTGAAATAAATATATACCCAAGAGGGTAACTTTAAGTCGACTTATTTAATATGGCCGTTCATGCTATATCAAGTGCACCCTAGGGTTCACCAATCAAAAGAATTTGACCATTAGAAAATTCACATGCACTAATTGTGACATTCAGTCAAACCACTAAGTCAAATAGCGTTGAAAATTTACAGGCACTAATTGTGACATTCAGTCAAACCACCAAGCCAAATGGCACAATCATAACCATTTATTTTAGTGATGCCATTGGGTAGCAAAATTGTATGGGAGTAGAAAAAGTGTTATACTCTTAAATTTGTCAGAATCGATAAACTATTATGAATGATGAATGAATATTTGCTATCATCTTTAAACCATAAAATTTACTTATAAATTTTTTCTTTTCTTGTAAAATTTTTCTAGCTTCTCATTCGTATAAGGATTCAAGTTCAATATCTTTTCTTTGAGATTGAGAGCATTTTGATAGCACGATCGATTCAAGATGATCATTCGGGTAGAACAGTCTGTATGTCTTGTAGCAATTGGTGTACTTGAAGTCTCCATTTTGTCACCTTAGGCCTTATTGACTCTACTAGCTTATAAAGATCTTTTTTTTTTTTTCAGCGAACCCATAGAGAATTTTATTAATATAAAAAAGTGTTACATAGATCGGCAGGAGTTTCCAAGTAAACCCAAAATACAATTCTGCAAAAATAAAACCTATGGATCCTCCATCGAGAAGTACAACTCACCCAAATCAAATAAACAAAATAGAAAAATAATACTTCAACTATATCTGATAAAAGTTATATGCTTATTATCACCATGAATGAGCCTAGCAAGAGCTAGCGAAGTAGTCCCAATACACATCCCATCTGCTTCCACCCCATATTTTCCTAGAAAATCCACAAATCTATTTACTTCTCTGTGGCATTTGTTCCACTTTATACAACGTCCAGGTAACAGCTGTTTTATTCTACGCCACAGTATATGACACTCCCAAGGACAATTCTCCACCATATTGTGACTTGAAAAGTCATCAAAGAATCTGTTTCAATTTGCAAAAGCCTCGTCTCCAATTTCTTTGCAATCATTAGACAAAGCAACACAGCCATCATTTCAGAATAAAAGCCATAAATTGAAAAACAGGTAGCCGACAAAAATATTAAGCATTTACCATTCCAATCACTCAAGACACCACCCGCAGCAGCTTTATATATTTTAATGCAGTCATCAAGATTAGCCTTAACGTATGGAACAGTCGGTTTTACCCAACTAAACAGCCGAACACTAGCATTTCCACATCTTAGCATTGAATAATTTCCAGCTCCACTAACCTGATTAAGGCATATGAACTAAGATATCCTTCCCATGAGAATCCTCCACATCCTTCTTTATGTACAACATAACTTTATTCATATAGGAAGATATGTTAACCAACACTCTATTACTTGAGTACTGCACATCCATATGTTTCCTGCCGTTCTGCTCCGTCCAAATAAGCCAACAAAAAATATAAGGGATCATGCTAATTAAATGAATACCATTAATCTACTCTTCCCAATTATCTAAACATTGGCTAAGGGAAAGATACCCATTAATAGGAATAAAAATATTTGATTGGCTAGCCAACTTCCTCCATATAACTTTCGAATACTCAGAGCACCAAAAAATATGAGACAAAGATTCCTCCTCTTTTCTACATAGTAGACAAACAAAGGGAATCCTTAATCCTTTAAGTTTCATAATATCATCAGTGGGAAGAAATTTGAGATGGAGTCTCCAAGCCAAAAAAAGAAAAAATGCTAGTTTTAAGCATAGCATTCCATATTATATCACCCTTCTCATTACTATTATTCTCGAAAAGCTTACAAGCAATAGCTTTACTCAAACTCTTTTTTTTTAACACTCTCAACTCATCAACTTTAGTGTTATCAATATGGATATTAGAAACATCCCTGACCAAATCCTCATTGAGGATATTCTTGAGCTTGTTTAAATCCCAGCAATTACCATCCCAATTATCAACAATCATCAAATTCTTATTATGAATATCCTGATAGGTATGCCAAAGAGGTCCAAGTAAAGACCAATCATCATACTAGAAGTTCATTTTTCCTTCCCCAAGCTCCCATATAATAAACTCTTCTGCTTTATGTTTAACTTTTCAGAAGCTCTTTCCAAACAATAGAATCCACCGGTTTTGGTTTACATAAGGGTAAGAGGCTTTAAAATACCTAATCTCCATAAAATTAGCCCACAAACCTTTTTTGGATCTCCGCTTAATCCATAGTTTATAGTAGTTACCTTCCATGGTATGGTTGAAACTCCTAAAACCCAGCCATATTATTTTTGGAGATAGATAATTTTTTAAATTTCATCCAATGAGCTCCCTTCCCTTTTCCCTCCCGTAAAAACTTATTAAATAGCCTTTCCCTCCCACTTGACTTGGTACCACTCTTGCTGACATCAGAGATTAGTGAGGATCTTGCAGAACGGGTGCAAGAGATTCAGAAGTTACAGGAAGAGGAGAGAATGTAGATCGCCAAGCAAAATTGCAAATACCAAACACAGGCCAACAAGACTAGGGAAAATGTAACTTCTGTAAAAGGGGACCTATTGTGGATCCAGCTGAAGAAAGAAAAGTTTTTAATGGGAGTGTTTGGAAAGATTAAGCCCAAAGTAGATAGACCATTTAGGATCCTCAGCAAATTGAATCACAACGCATATAAGATCAACTAATCATGGGACTACAATATCTCAACTACCTTAAACATCGCAGATTGAACTCCGAGCTACAAGGAACCAAAAGCTTCGACAAATGAGGTCAAAGCTCTCTCAACCACAAGAGAATGACGCGAATATGTGATTTTTATCATAGCCTGATAGTTGTTATTGTAAGAGAGTTCTACTAAAGGTATATGTGATTCCTATACTCCACCAAAGTCAATGACACAATCTTAGTAGATCCTACAAAATCCGATCAGTCCTTTTTGACTGGCTATCCGTCAGAGGGCGAAATGTTTCACAAAAAGTTAATTTGGTGCCTAAAGCCTCCTAAATTTTCTTCCATAATCTGTAAATAAATCAATCATCTCTATCAGAGACACACTTTGGCACTCCATGCAGCTTTATAACTTGACTAACTTTTCAACTGGATATGTCTGTCTGGTGGGCATGAAATATACAGACTTAGTGAATCTGTCAAAAATTACTCAGCATTACCACCCTGACGTGATCTAGGCAACCCAATCAAAAGTCCATAGCAATCTCCTCTTATTTTCACTAGAATTAGTAAAGGCTACAACTGACCTCCAGAATGCTGATGTTCTGCCTCTACTAATTGAAATGCATGACAATTAGCCATGAATTCTGCCACTCTTCAATCCTAACCACCAAAATGTTTCCTTGAAATCATGACACATTTAATAATCCCTTTGTGAATAGCATAGTAAAAGAAATATGCCTCTGGAACATAAATCATGCCTATATAATTCAACAAGCCATCTCGATCTAACACATACTTCTCCAAATTGTCTGCTTAATATGCTCCAGAATTTTCTGAACACTGTTATCTCTGATTAATGAATCCTCGATTCTATCTTTCATAGTGGTTAATTGACCATAATATCATCATTATAATTTATTACAGATAGCTTCTGCTTTTCCAAATCTTTAGGTAACTGATCCTTTGAAGTAAATAAACAGTTAAAATTGCCTGAAGTCTTCCTACTCAGCACACAAACACATTTGCCTTTCTTGGATGGTACTGAATATCCAAAACATAGTCTTTAATAGACTCGAAATTTTTGCTTTGCCTCCAGTTCAGCTCACACTGAGTAAAGATGTACTTCAAACTCTGATGATCAGTAAATAACTCGCATCTAACTTCATAGAGATAGTGCCTCAACATCTTAAGTGCAAACACAACTGCTACAAGGTCTAAATCATCTGTGAGATAATTTCTTCCACGATTCTTCAATTACCTTGAAGCATGGGCAATTATATTTTCATATTGCATATCTACACAGCTCAAACACTTCAATGATACAACAACAAAAATTTGAATCCCATCTGAACATGAAGAAATAGTCAATACTGAAGCAGACATTAAACAAGTCTTTAGTTTTTGGAAAACCTTCTCTCAATGATCTAATCACTCAAACTTCACTGTCTTCTGATTCGATCTCGATAATTACATAGCAATCTATGAAAGCCCCTACAAATCTCTTTTAATAACCAGCTAGACCTAGAAAACTACTTACATCAGTAGCAGTAGTTGGTCTTGGCTAATTTACAATCGCCATGATCTTATTTTGATCCACCAATATGTCATCTCCACTGATGTTATGC